GGTCATGCACAGGGCTGGACACAAGGTCACGCTCAGGTAAGGGCATCCCATATATCTCAGGAGCTAGAGAACAATGACTTCCATTCTATCACTCACATTCTATCACTCTGCCAACAGGTAGTGAGTTCCTACTTTCCACCAGGCCCTGGGTTAGGGCTGGGGATCCAGGATAAGTTGACCTTGTCCTGCCTTTGGAGATTCTCCACCTGGCTGTTAAGGTTAGATGAGGTTACAGGATTCTCTGACACACAGTTGATGACAACTCTTATGGGAAGGGGAGGAGAAGGCCTACCTGGAGGAAGATGTATTCCCACTCCAGCCGAGACTGCTAACACTCACCCACACCTGTAGTCTTCTCACCTTCCCAGGTGTGCTGCTGGACTACATTTCCCAGGCTCTCCCCCAGCTCAATGGGGCACGTGATCCAGCTGATGACTGAGCATGGGCTGCAATGATGTGCCACTACAGAGCCCTGCCCCTCAAACCCCCAACACTCCTTAATACTCTCTTTGCCCAGTGAATGGCTGGAATAGTGATGACCCCCAGGGCCACCTTGAGACCCACCTATTGAAGATTCAACCTGAATCCCAGAAGGACCAGTTAGAGAGTTGACACTTGCTCAGAATTGTTATATAAGCAGGAACGCTATTTCTAGCATATCTGCTGGATATCTGTAACACCCTATGTGTAATAGTAGCTAGGATCACCCTAACTGATAATCTGCCACAAAAGCCTGATATTCTCTGTTATGTAACGTTTCTGCTTCACGGCTCTAACAATTACATTTGGCTCTGTAGTACTGTTACCAAAGCTATGGTCCCAGCTTAGTTCTTTGTCTAGCTGGAGACGATACTCCTGACCAGTTGTTTCCAATTGGGATACTCTTATTCCTTAGTTCTCTGTTTTCATGCATTTATTGTTGTTATTGTTGGCTAGAACTAGATTTTTTTTAAAAGATTTTATTTATTTATTCATGAGACACACACACACACACACACAGAGAGAGAGAGAGAGAGAGAGAGAGAGAGGCAGAGACATAGGCAGAGGGAGAAGCCGGCTCCCTGTGGAGAGCCTGATGCAGGACTTGATTCCAGGACCCCAGGATCACACCCTGGAATGAAGGCAGACACTCAATCACTGAGCCACCCAGGCGTCCCTGGAATTAGATTGTGAGTGAGAATTTTATCTCTCTACCCCTCTTCCAACTGTGTAGACACTGGCTCGCCCTTGATTGATGTGGAGAAGTTTCAGACCTGTCTATATCACTCAGGAGCCTGGCAGGAACCAGGTAAAAATGCAGACTGAATAACTGAGGGGAATTGCATTATGTCCAGTTATGAAATGAATAAGGTCCGAGGATCTAATGTATAACCGATGGCTAGGGTTGATAACACCACTGCATAACTGAAATGTTGAAATGTGCTAGGAGAGTAGAACATAAATGGCCTCACCAAAGAGAGAGAGAGAGAGAGAGAGAGAGGTAAATATATGATAAGTATGTTCGTTAACTTGATGGGGGAAATCTTTTCACATGTATACGTCTATCAAATCATCACATTCATTGTATGCTTTAATTATTTACAGTTTTATTTGTCAATTATACCTCAATAAAGGTGGAAAAAAATAAATGATTTACAAAGCTGTGGGTGGGTCCACCCCACATGCCCTCAGCATCATCTCTGCATGGAGCTTTACTGCTAATCTCGTTTGCTCTCTGCTGCAGGTGTGTTTTCTGGCCAGGGATGCAAGCTTAGCCAGTGCGTAGAGCAAGCCCAGAGTGCTAGGGCCAGTGTCCTGGAAGCAGCCCTCAAACAAAGGCAAAGGGCGGTTGGCAGATGAACCTCCCAGGTTCCTCACTCCTTAGCTGGGTTAAGTCTGAGAGACCTGTTGCACATTGCCTCCCAGAGCTCCCCGGAGGACTGGGCTCTAGGTGCCTTGGCCCATAGCCTGCCTCCACAGGCTCACTTTCGGTCTTTCTCTGCACTGCCTTTCCACTGTTTCCTGGGATCTTTTTTTTTTTTTTTTTTGTGATAGTCATACAGAAAGAGAGAGAGAGAGTCAGAGAAATAGGCAGAGGGAGAAGCAGGCTCCATGCACCGGGAGCCCGATGTGGGATTCGATCCCGGGTCTCCAGGATCGCGCCCTGGGCCAAAGGCAGGCGCCAAACCGCTGCACCACCCAGGGATCCCTGGGATCTCTTCCTAAATAAACTTCTTGCACTCGAATCTTTGTCCCCAGGCTCTGCTTCTTAGGAACCCTAACCCAGAGCAAAGTTTACGGGGAGCAATAAGGAGTATTGCAGTAGCCTGGGGGTAGTAACAAAAGGAAATCATTGCCTTTGAAGATGGGCAGAGGGACCAGGATGGTGAGGACAAGACCACCTGCCAGGATCTGTGGCCTTGGTGGAGAGACACAACTGACCACGTGACTATACATGAGGGCAGGGGGAGAGAAAGAATAAACATCCTGACTTCTCCCTCCCCCCACTTTCTGATCTCCTGCTGGTGACCCCTATTGACCAAACCCGGCCAGAAGCCAGAGGTCAAGAGAACTTGCTGGTGTTTCCACAGTGGTCAGATTGCCTGGCACAGAGCAGCGTGGAAGAGGGTAGGGAGTGTGCATTTGGAGGGGCAAACAGATGTGTAGCATACAGCCTGATTGTTTGTCTTTGACCTGCAGAATTGCAGTAGTGCAGGATCTGAAAAAGGCTTTTCCAGGTGTCAGGATGGAGTAAACTTTGGTGCAGAGACTGGAAGGGCTGGGGTGAGTAGGCACCAGCATTCCTGTTACCTTGTGCAGAATGGTCTACCCCCAAGACTCAGTGGCTTCAAATAACAATTTTACTACATACAATTCTGTAAGTCAAGAGTTTGGGTTGGGGTCAGCTGGGTAATTCTTCTGTTCCACATGGTGTGACTGAAGTCACATATTCAGCTGGCAACCATTCTGGTCTGGCGAGTCCAGCATGGCTTCACGAATATGTTTAGTTTCTTGGTGGGAGGGGCGGAAAAGCCCGGCTCACCAAGACTAGAGTGACTTGGGGTTCCCAGGGATAATGTTCAAGATGCCCCAGTGGAAGCTGCAAGATTGCTTATGACCTAGGCTCAAAGTCCAGGAATGACATTTCCACTGCGTTGTATCAAACAAGTCCCTCCATGGAGACCAGATACAACATGAGGAAACTCTTGCAATGGGAGGAATAGCAAAGAACTTGTGGTCACCTTTACTTGCCCAGCCAGTCATCCAGGTTGACTAGTGTTTGGGGCGTGTGCCAGGAAGTCAAGGAACAGAGGTTGGCGAGAGACTTGAAAGTCATGACAGGGGCTGGGGAGATAGTAATAAGGCAGAGAGTGAAGGCCCTAGAGTTGGATTCAAACTCAAATTCCGTCTCTGCCACTTCCAACATTTGCTAAGCAAACTCTTCCTTTGTCTGAGCCTCAGTGTCCTTATCTGTAAAGATGGGCTGGGAAGGGGGTCTAACAGACTGCAGTTCTAATTGGTCCCAGGTGATATCGATGCCAATGATTCCACAAAAGAGTACTCCATACTCTGAGTAGCTGGAGACTACTTTCCCCCCCAATAAAAGTTTGATTTCGTTTTGCCTCTATTTACATTGTCCACTGATTTTCCAGTGTTCCAGTGTTTTCAGGGGAAAAAGACCAAGCAATCGCTCACCATGTCCCGCACGCACCTAGCTCTCACTTGACTATTTAACTCCATTCCCATTTCCTCATCCTCTTTTCCCCTTACTTATTAATTTATTTATAATATTTTGAAATAAACTAAAACCACCATGCTACCCAAGTACTGGAACATTACCAATAACTGGAATGTAAACGTAAGCTCCTCTCCTCCCCCTTCCCTATTCTCCCCAGATAGACCATTCTTCTCAAATATGTGTTTGTCTTTCCCTTTAAAAGTTTTTTGGGGGGCACCTGAGTGGCTCAGTGGTTGAGCATCTGCCTTTGACCCAGGGCGTGATCCCGCTGTCTCTGGATGGAGTCCTGCACCCGGCTCCCCACAGGGAGCCTGCTTCTCTCTCTGCCTTTTTCTCTGCTTCTCTTTCTGTGTCTCTCATGAAGAAATAAAATATTTTTTAAAAAAGTTTTTTCTACCCATGCATGTATCTAAACATGCATATTTTTGGTTTTGCTTTCACTATACATTCTAAAAGTCGCACCATAGTGTATATGTTCTGCAACTTGTTTTTTCATTTAAAATTGTTTCTGGAAAAAAAAAATTGTTTCTGAGATCTCGCTTCTCTGCCGTGCAGAAATTCATTCCACTTCCCGGTTGTGTAACATTCTATGGTGTGAGCATTCCAGTTTATTTGCCCATTCCCTGTGGATGAGCACTTGGGGGTGTTTCCAATACTTTTGTTGTTAGGAACAGTGCTGGTGTGAACATCCTCGAAAATGTTCCCTGTCGGCACACGGGCAGGCTTCTGGAGGGTGAATGCCTAGGAGGATATTTGCTCTGGCCCCCTCCTCGCCTTTCATTTCCCAGCTCCTGGGGTCTCACGCAGAGCCGTCCCCCTCCCCTGGGCTGCTCTCTTCCACCCCGACCCCTTCACCCAGGAAACTCAGAGAACCCTTCCCCGACCTGCAAGCCACGCTGGTCCCCCAACTATACGTTTATGTTGAGCGATTCTGTGCTGAACGAGTGTCTCGCCCAGTAGAGCGCAAGCCCCACGAAGTCTGGACGCTCACGGTTCCCAGCTTCCAGCTGGGGCCTGGCACGCTGCAGGCGCCCCGGCGGTGGCTTGAAGGCTGCCCGATGGGCCGGGCGGGAGGCCGAGGGCCGGGCGGCTGGAGCCTGAGCCCACAGGTGGCTCCAACCCGGCGTCCCGGGCCTGGCGATTGCGGGCGGGTCACGGATTCCGGGAAACGCACAACTCAGGTCCGCGGGGGAGGGGGGGGGCGAGGCGGGGGCTTCGGCGAGGGCGGGGGGCGGGGCCGGGCCCGGGGGCGGGGCCGGGCCCGGCGGGGCGGGCCCTGCCCCGGGCCTCGTTAAGAGGCTCGTGGCGCGCCGCGGTCCCCGCAGGTCCTGGGGTGAGCGCCGACCGGCGGAGGGAGCCGCGCAGGGGCGCACGCTTGGCACCATGACCCAGACGCCGGCCTTCGACAAGCCCAAAGTGAGAGCGGGCGGGGCTCGGGGTCCGGGGGGCCGCCTCCTGGTCTGGCTGGAGGCCTTAGGGGCGTTCCCAGCCCGGGAGTGAATCGGCGCCCCTGCAGCCGCTTCCTTCCCTCGGCTCGGGCCCTCGCTGCCTCCTGGCCCTTGAGTGAGAGACAATGAGGCGGGGAGGGTCCTGAATCCCCGGGCGCCCGGCTGGCTTCCGTGTTCTGCCTCTGCCCCTGACTTGGCCTCTCTGAGTCTCAGTTTCACTACCTGTCAAATGGGCCTGGGGCGCCGCCGGCGCTGGGTCGCTGTGTGAGCCCAGGCAGGGGGCTCGACCTCTGGAACCTCGGCCGTAAAATGGGGCCCGGTGTCTACACCCATAGGCTCCTCAAGTGTTGCGGAAACACTGTGTTGTCTACTCCAACACTGTGATGGTTTTGGGAGCGCCCAGGAGCTCAGGTTTGTGGATGTGCCAGTCGGAAGGACCGTGCCGTAGAGCGGAGGGCGGGCAGCAGGGCGACCCCTCTCCCTGCCAGGGGCTGAGTGGGCCTTAGGCCCTGGGTTCATTTAGGGCCAAGACACAGCCACTGGCCTGGAGGGATAACTCCGTGGTCCCTCTTCCCACCAGCTGTGGCCTCCCGGGAAAGGCTGGATCAGATTTGGAGCACGGAGATTCAGTCCACAGGCGGGAGGGGTCCAGGGGTCTGTCAGCAGGGTTTGAGACTGCTGGAGGGTGGGTGGTGATGGGAACGACTGAGTTGTAATCAGACTCCATTTACCTCTCTGAGAAACAGGTGTGAGTGATGATGGCAGGTATCACAAAAGTGTTGGTGAGAATCCCGTGTGTGTGGGAGTGCTGGAGGAGGGGTGGGCAGCACTGGAGGAGGTAAGGCCTGGCCCCCACCGCTGATACCCTCATCGTAGGGTAAATGCCCAGCTACCCCCTTCCAGACGTTGTTTGATGTGAGCGGGGGAACACTCCTGCTGGACCCCACCCTATGCCTCCTTCACGCGGTGTCTGGATGCCCCATCACTGGTGCTGCTTTCCTTGTGAAGGCTTTTTTTTTTTTTTCTTTTTTTTCTTTATAAAATACTTTTGGATTCCCTCGGCCCTTGGCCTGGGGAAACCACTTGCCCTGATCTGAATCCTGAGGCTGTAAACAAAGCCTCTTGACTGGGAAGCCCCTTGAAATTGGCATTTTCCAGATAAGTGGTAGGCAACGCTTCTGTAGAACTGATGTGCACCAAATCTGTCCTTGCAACACTTGTAATAGCCCCCTGAGGGAGAGACTCTTTTACCCTTTTTGGGCCTCACCCAATCTTCTCTGCTTCAAGCTGGTAGGTTATTCTCCCTTTCTGGGCCTCAGTTTCCACACCTGGGAAATGGGCTCCACCTGTTTGGGGAGAGCTGTCCAGAGATTAAAAGATGCTTGAGAGGGAAGGGATTCTCCACGATGTAATGAGGTGATTAAATTTTATATTGCAAGGAGGGAACATGCCTGAGCTGGCAGGAGAAGCAAAAAGGAACGTGTCTCAGCCACTGTGACGGAGCCAGCTCTCTGCCTTCATGTGGGTTGGAACAGATCATAATGAGAAGTAGTATTAGTAGCTGGAGCTAATTAAGTCGTTATTGCCCTGTGCTGAGCTAATAACAGTCGTTATTACTGTTCTGAACATGTTACTTTCATTAATTCATTTGATTCTAGCAATGACTCTGGGGTAGCACCCCATTCAACAGATGAATAGAGGAGCAGAGAGATCAATTGGTCTGTGGTTACACAGCAAGGAAGCAGCCAGGCTAGGGTAGAGCCCAGGGAACTAGCATCAAAAATCCCATAGCCAGGTTTCCTAAAATTGCCTTTGCAGAAGCCTTTGGGGTATAGGTGCCTGTGGCCCTGGTGTAGGCCCCTCTGGGACAGGAGCCTCTGCTGGGCTGTTTGGCTTCTTCTGGCTACCACTAGGTGAGGCCCAGGACCTGGCCAGTTTTAAGAAAGCAGAACAAGGCTTTCTAAACTTTAATGTGTACCCCATCCCCTGAGTGCCTGGTTAACATTCAGACACTGAATTGGGAGGTTTGGGGTGGGACTTGATACGGTCCCTTCTAACAGGCTCACAGGCAGTACCAACACTGCTGGACCACGGACTACACTTTGAGTACCAAGGCCCTAGGTGGCTGCCTCCCTGGTTTGATTGTGTTATTCTAACCAATGCTTTCTGAGCACCTGTTGGGCACTCAAGGAGATGTGGAGGAGGTGGAGGGGTGGGTGGCCCTTATCAGTGTATTTCTACACGAGGCAAGGTGCTCAGGAGTTCTTTGTCACGGATCACATGCCTGTTTTTGTAGTAACAGCGGGTACCTGGCACCTTCTGTGATTTACATCACAAATCTCTGGACACTTGGACAAGGCAGATCTCTTCCTCGTCTAACAGACCAGGAAGCTGAGGGGTGAAGTGACTTGCCCAAGGCCACACAAAATGAGCACATCTCAAAGCTGTAGACCAGCAAGTGGACTGGCCCATTTTGGAAGAGCACAGTTTCTAGATTGTCCCTCCCTGATGCAGAGAACTGGGGCTAAATCTCCCACGTAATTTTTTAAGTAGGCTCTATAGCCAGTGTGGGGCTTGAACTTATGACTTTAAAAAGTTGTAAGAGTCACATTCTCTACAGACCAAACCAGCCAGGCGACCCACCCACATCACTTTTTTATTTCTCCTTTTTGAATGTTCACTCCATACCAGGCACTGTTCTCACTGCTTTGCATATATTCGTTTAATGCTCACAGTATCGCTTTAAGGTAGATCCTCTTATCTTCAATTCCGTATGAGGGAATGGCTCAGAGGAATTTTCCAAAGTCACATAGCCAGAAAGCAGAGCTAGACTTGAACCCAGTTCTACCTAAAACTGAAATGGACACTGTCAGTTGTCTTGGCGATTTGCCATTCCCACTTTGAGGGGAGGGATTGGACTCAGAGTCACCTGGGGCCTCAGGTAGATTGAGAGTGGGTCCCTGCCTTGGTGCTTGGCGGCCACAAGAGCTCACATTTCTCTGCAACTCCACTTCCTTCTAAGATGCATTAAGACCAAGGTCATGGGGGATCCCTGGGTGGCTCAGCGGTTTGGCGCCTGCCTTTGGCCCAGGGCGCGGTCCCGGAGTCCCAGAATCGAGTCCCCCGTCGGGCTCCTGGCATGGAGCCTGCTTTTCCCTCTGCCTGTGTCTCTGTCTCTCTCTCTCTCTGTCTCTCTCTCTGTCTGTGTCTCTCTCTCTCTCTCTCTCTCTCTCATAAATAAATAAATAAATAAATAAATAAATAAATAAATAAATCTTAAAAAAAAAAAGACCCAGGTCATGGGTTCTTGGGGAAGTTGTGCTGAGTGGCACCTGTGAAGCCCCTGGCTGACGAGCAGCAGGTCCTTAAGTATGCTTTTCTTCCCCTGGGACGGTAGTGGGGGTCCTGGTGCCCTCTGGGAAGCCCCTTTCCCCTGCCTTACCTCTTGACTTCCTGCTTCAAAGCCACTGTAAAGCCCACCATTGGCACTGATTTGGGCTTCTGGTGTTTTTGGTTACCAGAGCCACCTGTTCTAATTTTTTAAAATATTTTACTTATTTATTTTTATTTATTTATGATAGTCACAGAGAGAGAGAGAGGCAGAGACACAGGCAGAGGGAGAAGCAGGCTCCATGCAGGGACCCCGATGTGGGATTCGATCCCGGGTCTCCAGGATCGCGCCCTGGGCCAAAGGCAGGCGCCAAACCGCTGCGCCACCCAGGGATCCCTACTTATTTATTTTTAAAAGATTTTATTTCAGAGCATGTAGGCAAGCATGAGCCAGGGAGCGGGGCAGAGGGAGAAGCAGATTCCCCTGGGACTCCATCCCAGGACCCTGAGATCAGGAACCTGAGCTGAAGGCAGATGCTTAACCCACCGAGCCACCTGTTTTTAAAAAGCCCCTCAGCGTGCTTTCCTTATCCATTATAACACACGTGGCACTTGGGAGGGAAGGGAATAAATGAGCTTGGGTTTCAAGGAAGCCTTTTGTTTGACAGAAGCAGCAAGGACCAGAGAGGGGAAATGTGGTCACACTCCTGATGCTACATCAGGCCTTGGGTTGGCCTGGCCTAGATGGGAAGGGGCCCTGTGAGGAACTTGTATACCTACCCTGGTTGCCCTAGGAGGGGTGCCCCTCCCGGGCAGGGAAGGATAGCACTGGACCTGGCTTTGGACAGGGGAGAAGAGCAGGCCGGGGGGGCCAGAGTGAGCTTCCAGCCTATATTTGCTCAGCGTTTTGGGGTCAGGCTCGCTCTCACCCCTTAGCTTTCTGAGGCCCCAGAGCAGCAAGGTGAGGGAAGAAACCAGCCCTGGGGTCCTTGTGACCATGGAGGCAAAGCAGTGAGTTTTCCAGTCTACCAGAGGAATCAGATTCGTGTCCAGCCTACATAAAACACCAAGCGCAAGCCTGGCTCGGGGTGGGGTGGGGACACCCAATGTTACCTGCTTTGGAACTGGTTCTCAATCCTTCTGCTTAGATTTTACCAGCATTGACTCAGCACTGATGGGCAGGATGAAGGGAGTGCATTGTGGCCGTTACAACCTCTGGCTTTGACTCACACAGCTTCCGGCTGTGGTACTTAACTAGTCTGGCCTCAGGCTGGTTCTTTAATCTCCTGTTTCTCTGTCTCCTCACCTATAAAATGAGGAATAACTGTACTGCCATTCCTGGGCTGTTGCCTGCCTTCCCGTCTTTTGAAACCTCTGGGGAGGCTCACCGCAGCAGGTGAGAGCTCGGTCAGGCCCAAAGGCAGCAAGAGGCACCGAGAGAGATCCTCAGCCCCTTCAGCTCTGTACCTGAGCTCTGCAGCAGCTCAGATGGGGCTGAGCTCGGAGGACTTCATGGTGGAAGTGTGATTGAAAAAAAATCTGTCAGCCCAGGGCTTCCGTGTCTCCTGGCTTTACCCCAGAGTCTGCTCAGAGGCCACTGTGGACCCTGATTCCCTTGGGCACCACTGCCAAGAGCAG